TTTTTTTTTTTTTGGTCTTGTTGCCTAGCTACTCGACCCATTTAAAGCATCACTTTTTTTTTAAATGAAAATTAATTTTATGGATTTCCTGTTGGGTATCTCCCACTCGGGGAAACTATCGTTGTCAACTGAAACCTTTCTTTGTGTTCTTAACGGAGAAGTTGAGGTTAGAGACGACTTGGAGGTACTTTGCTATCTTCAACCGAAGTTGAGGTAGGTGTACGGGGTAGGGTTGCCAGATAAAATACCGGACGCCCCGTTAATTTTGGATTTCACATAGACAGCAAAGTATTTTTAGTATACGTTGCATGGGACTTAAATACTAAAAGATAATTTTTTAAAGTCTGAAATTCAAATTTAACTCTACGTTGTGTATTTTTATTTGATAAATCTGGCAACTCTTGTGGGGGGCACTGGCTAGCTTTATGCTGTGTCTTTGTCCAACTTACTATTAAATGAAAGAAACGCCTGAAAAAGTACCTTACCATATCAGTGCATTCTACAGCTTTCAGGCAGGTGCATATCCATGCAGCCATCTAGGTCGGTAGATTTTTACCAGATCTCTCTCCCCCCCTCGCCCCCCACCCCACCAGCTTCCACTTAAAAAGTTGATCCTTTTCCTGAAAACTGATTTCAAATATGTGTGATGCAGTGTTTGGTCTTGTACCTAAACCACATTTATGCAGTCGTACTGTGTCCAGTAGCCCCAGTCTTTCTAAACCAGCAGTACATACTTTCTCTCAAGAAAAATCCTTCATCAGGGTTAGTCTTTGGGACAGATAGACAAATCCTTGATGCTGATCTTTGTGCTTAGTTCTTAGAGGCCCAGTGGTTAAGGGGCAGTGAATTTATTGCTCACAAGAGATTTCTGCACGTATTTCCATATTATGTTGGTGGTCATCATCAGAAATAAGTGATAGGGACAGTATTAACTGAGTACTTGCTACTTTGTGGGCACTGTTTTAAGTGTTTTATACAATATTATTTAGTCTTCACCATTGAATGCCTTCTTGGGAAAGAGTAAACTGGAAGGAAGGATTGTAAAGATTAGCACTATGGAGACATTTATTCAAAAACACAAAGGCAATTTGATTGTAAAAAATGATTTTTGCTAGAATCCAAAAGAGAGGAGGAAGAATGTAATTAATGATATTTGTCTAACTACAGCACCAACTGAATGCAGAAATACGGATAGTGGTTGCCAGCAGGAACATGTGCTGTGTACACAATCTCATTTAGTCCTTAAAATAACCAGCCCTGTGAAGTTGCTGTTGTTACCCCCTCCTTACAGGTGAGGAAACTGAGGCTCAGAAGTTAGGTGACATGGCTAGTCAGTTTGTTGGACTCTAAACTTTGAAATCAAGCTGAGTTTGATTACTAAGCTTGTAGCTTAGTGATGAAGAATGAGCTTTAGAATTAAATGGATGTGAGTTCCACTCCTTGCCCCATCACATTTGGGTAACCTTAGATGGGCATCAGTTTTCTTATCCAGGAGAGTAAGTTTTGGGCACTAAGTGAGATAATGCAGACTTAGCACAGTGCCTGGCATATAATGATTGGTAAATATCTGATATTATCATCTTAACTACCAGGCTACACTTTCTAAAACCAAAAATAACCTCCCTTGAAGTTCTCTTACATGGTTTAGAACATCCTAGCACTTTTTCTTCAAGGAGGTAGATCATTTCTACTAAGAAGTTGTAAAATGGCCTTTTTGAAAAGGAGTGATGAAGTTTGGTTAAGATGTATATACAGAGTTTTTAATATTTCAGTTTGAGTGGAACTCTGAGGATTTTTATTAATGTGTAAATATAAATTGTGGATTCCTGAATGGGATGCAAGATACTGAGGCTGGGGCCACTGACTCCCAAATTAAAGGCTGGAGAAAAAAAAGGTTCCTTGGATTCTAGCCAGGGGTAAGAAGGTAAGAAGACCTAGTTGGAGAAATGGCTGTGAAGATAACTCAAGTTTCAGCTATAGGCCAGTGTGGAGTCAGGGAAGGGAGGTGTTTAATAGCTGGGACTCAGATAGTTAAAGATCTGATTCTAATGCCAACCTAACCCCATCCCCACCTGTTGCTGGGGTAGACTTCATAAATTTTGTATGTTTTAATTTCCTGTTTTTATGTCTTATTTTTAGAAACATGATTTCCCTTTTTTTTAGAGGAAAAAATGCTGCACCATGGGTAAGAGTAATAAAGATAGATGCAATTATTTTAATTTTAAGAATTTATTATAAGGAAATAGTTAAAAAGAGCTATAAGCAAGAAGATATTTACTGCATCATTCTAATAGGAAAAAGGTGAAAACAACCTAAATGTCTCATAGTAGGTGGTAGTTTAGTAAGTTAGTATATATCCACATGGACTTTGTGTAGCTGTTAAAAATTATAATTATGTTGACATAGAAGTGAAGAAAAACTGAACATACAATGGTGCAGTATAGCAGCATTATATTGACATGATAATGTATGTTTTGGAAGGTAAATAAGTAAAAATGGATATTGTGGGAGGAATATTTACTCATGGATGTTTCCAAGATTTAGCTGTGAACATTGTTTATAAATAATGGTGAAAAAATAGAAACAACCCAAGTGTCCAACACAATAGGTGCTTGGTTGACAGCTGAATACTGCATCCATTAAAAATTAATGTAGGAGAAGAAAAATGTAGAAGATTGAGTGACATAAGAGCTCTCATCATGTAATAAAGTAGAAAAGGCAAGTTGCAAAATAGTTTTTATAGTATTTCATTTAGAGTACATGCAAATAAATCCGTGACTGGAAGGATAAATGTTAACTGACTTCTGGTGGTGGATTTTTATTTAATAAGATTGATGAAACGATACAAATAAGATTCAAGTCTTGGCTTAAGTGTCAACTTTCCAGTGAGGCTTAACCTCAGCTCTGTTTAAAATTGCAGTCTTACCAGGCGCCTGGGTGGCTCAGTTGGTTAAGCTTCTGCCTTCAGCTCAGGTCATGATCCCAGGGTCCTGGATCTAGTCCTGCATGGAGTCTGCATCAGGCTCCCTGCTCAGCGGGAAGTCTGCTGCTTCCTCTACCCCTCCCCCCTGCTCGTGATCTCTCTCACATAAATAAATAAAATCTTTTTTAAAATTGCAGTCTTACCCCTTTCACTCCCTATACACTTTGCCCCAGTTTCTCTTATTTTCTAATAGCATTTACCTCTCATTAAGTACTATGTACTTTAATTACGTGTCTTTTTGTCTTACTAGAAGGTAAGCACAACTGAGGGCAAGAATCTTTGCTTTGTTCATTGATGCATCCCAAGCACCTATAATAGTGCCTAGCAAATAGTAAGCATTCAGTGAATATTTGTTGGGTGAATTAGTAAAAAAATAAAATTAGTAAACAATGATCAATAATCTATAAACAGGGCAGTTTTCATTTTTGCCTGCCTTCTGTTCCTAGTCTACATTCATGCATTTTTGAGGGGGGAAAAAACACCCTTTTCCTGTTTCTTAAAACCTTTCCCTTTTGAAACATCAAACATTTTTCTTTTTTTAAAGATTTTACTTATTTGAGAGAGAGAGCGAGCACGAGTGTAGGGAGGGACAGAGGGAAAAGCAGACACCCCACTGAGCAGGGAGCCCGATGCAGGGCTCAGATCCCAGGACTCTGGGCTCATGACCTGAGCCGAAGGCAGACTCTTAACCGACTGAGCCACCCAGGTGTCCCAAAACATTAAACATTTTTCACATTTACATGGTCTTCATAATTTTTTTAAAAGATTTTATTTATTTATTCATGAGAGAGAAAAGCAGGCTCCCAAGGAGCAGGGAGCCCGATGGCGGGACTCGATCCCAGGACCCTGGGATCATGACCTGAGCCGAAGGCAGACGCTTAACCATCTAAGCCACGCAGGCACCCCTTCGTAATTTTTAATGCTGTGTAACACTCCACTGAATAGATGTACCGTAATTTATTAAAAACCATACCTCTAATTTTGGGTATTTTAAGTCATTAATTTGTTACCGTAAAGGTCATCACAGTGATTATTTCATGGATGTAGTTTTTATTAAATTTTTAAAATTATATTCTTTGGGGGGGCAGAGGGAGAGGGAGAGAGAAATCCTAAATAGGCTCCACACCTAGTGCAGAGCCTGACATGGGGCTGGATCTCAGAACCCTGAGATCATGACCTGAGCCAAAATCAAGAGTCAGATGCTTAACCTACTGAGCTACCCAGGTGCCCCTAAAATTATATTCTTAGGGTAAATTTCTAGGAGTAGAATTTCCTGAGTCACAGAATATGAACATTTTGATAGCTCTTGTTATTACTTGTTTTATGAAACAGTTTGGATATAGAATTTGATAATTATGTTGTTTTAGTTTTGGAGGGATATGATAAGAAATGTATCAGGGAAGCTTGTATAAATATTCTTATATACCCATCATCCAGAATCAGTAGTTATCAAGTCGTCACATTTTCTTTGAGAAATCAGTTTTCTTTATTTTAGAGGAATCATATAATGTTAACAATAAATGTTCATGAGAAGGTCCTTCTCTGCATTTTTCCTTCAGCTAAATTCTGATTAGAAGGTCTTGTGTTTAGGGGAAATGATTTAGGGTTGGCTTTGCCCTTTTATTACTGGAGAACTGTCCTTAAATGAGGAAGATGGTCCTCAGCTTGTTAACCAGTAAGAAAGCAGTAAGAAAATTTTCATTTTAAAGCCATCAGCTCTTGAATTCACTCTGGATTGTACCAGGAATTTTCATTTTGTTTTCTTTTAATCTTATGTTGATTTTTAGATGAGATCTAACATTATGATTGTATATTCATCTTTTTTATTTGATGTTTTCATTGCTTTGATAGTCATTTATCTTTATTGTGATTAATAACCATATTTACTGAATGCTTACTATATTTCAGTACTGAGCTAGTGTTTTCACATATTTATGAATCCTCATAGCCATCTTGAGAGGTAGGTATTTTTATTATTCCCTTTATAACAGCTTAAATTTGTGCAAAAGTGATTTACTAAGTAGTACATAGCTAGTAAGTGAGTACTAGGACCATGCTTCAAATCTAAGTATGTCTAACTCCACAGCTTGTACTTTTTCTACTGTTCATTCCACAATATCTACTGTAGGTTAAGACTGCAAAGTGCCAGATAACAAGATTTAATAGTCCTTGTCCTTGTGATAAGTAGAATCTATTTCCCTTGTTAAGTTTTAATATTATGATAGGGCCAATTTTTAGGGAGTAGCTTCTTCAGGGAAAGTAGTTTCCAGTTAATATATAGAATTAGTGAAAGGAAAGTTTCTTCAAGCTACGTCTGTGCAAGTTGTTCATTTAGTACTTGTCTAGTGTCTGTGTGCAACATAACTGCTAATGTCTGGTTCTTTTTAGGTTTTTGAGTGGTACAACTTTGCCATACTTGTTCACAATAACCAGTCATTTGAATCTGGCAAAAGCCAGGATATCAGAGATGATTAGTGACATATAAATCATCAGGAAGGTGACTGATAAGCCCTGAATGTATTTGACAGTCCACATTTTCCTTTTAGGGTGCAAAAATGCAGAGCAATAAAACCTTTAACCTGGAGAAGCAAAACCATACTCCAAGGAAGCATCATCAGCATCACCACCAGCAGCACCACCAGCAGCAACAGCAGCAGCCACCACCGCCACCAATACCTGCAAATGGGCAACAAGCCAGCAGCCAAAGTGAGTACATGCTTGTAGGGGGGTAAGAATAGGTTCCCTCCCGGGAAAGGTTCCTTGGTTTTTAGATTAATCTCTTGGGCTTATAAAGGAATAAGCCTTTGTGGCACACCTTTTGCTCTTTTTTCCCCTATTTACCTCTTAATACATCTTAGGATAGAAAAAGGGTGATTCACTGAAACAAGGAGCAGACATGTTGGGTAGCAGATGAGTACAAGTTGCTGTGCTGTGTTGGCATATTCTGCTAAACAGATGTCTGTGTGTTTTACCTCAGAGCTTGGTTCTTAGAGGTAATCATCAGATGACTGGTAGTTAGAAAATATAGAACAAGTCTTTAAGGGAAAAGAAGTCTGGTACTGAGTGTTATACTTTCAGCCTGGGGTCTGTGCCAATCCGTTTTAATCACAGTAAACATTCTTGAAAGGCATGTTCCATTCATTCAGCAAACTTTGAGCACCTATTGTGTGCCTCTAAAACTAGAACCAACCTCAGCCCTCTTTTATTTCCAGAGATCCCTACAAAGAATACTGTTTCCTAACTCATTTCCTTTCATTCCATTAACCCAAGCATGAAAGAATGGGAACTGTTAAGATTATGAAGATTGGTGAGAGATTGGGAAAATGGAGCAATTATGTTTCAGTTTTATTTTTTTAAAGATTTTATTTATTAGAGAGCAAGTGAGAGCACACGAGAAGGGGGAGGGGCAGAAAGAGAGGGAGAAGGAGTCTCCTCAACGAGCAGGGAAGCCCAATGCGGGGCTTGATCCCAGGACCCTGGGATCATGACCTGAGCCAAAGGCAGACACTTACCTACTGAGCCACCTAGGCACCCCTATGTTTCAAATTTAGAAAACTGATCTCTTCTGACACAAGTCTTCTTGACTTGCTTAATTTTCTCTTTGACCAATAGCTTCTGTATTGTCTTTCTCTTAGTCCGGGTGGCTCCTGGCCCATAGTAGAGCTATTGAGAAGAACTCCCAGATGTCTGCATACTGCTTTCACATTTTAAGGGCAATTTACTGATAAGTGGTTAGTGGATAGATTGTATTGGGAAATGGTGTTTTTCTCTACAGCAGTTAGGTTTCCTAATCTAGCAGCAGTTGTAGCTCTTTGAGAATGTGACTGTAGATCTCTTTGCCCAATCTTTTGAGTGACTGTGTGTATTCTCTCAGATGAAGGCTTGACTATTGACCTGAAGAATTTTAGGAAACCAGGAGAGAAGACCTTCACCCAACGTAGCCGGCTCTTTGTGGGCAATCTTCCTCCTGACATCACTGAGGAGGAGATGAGGAAACTATTTGAGAAATATGGGAAGGCAGGCGAAGTCTTCATTCATAAGGATAAGGGCTTTGGCTTTATCCGCTTGGTGAGCAACCATGGGCTTTTAGAGTATATGCTCTAAAAGGTGGGGAAGTCGGGAAATGATGGATATGGAAAATACGGCAGTGGAAATAATTCTCAGGTGGTCTGTTTGTTAAATATTTAATAGTTGTAGTTGGTAGAACAGGACAGAAGATAACAGGTTTTATTTTTATTTTTCCTTATAGGGTTTTGTTTTGTTTCAAGGACAACAGGTTTATTTGTCTAGGACACAGACTAAAGTATGCCCCTTGGAACTTTTGTTTTCATTGGTAAATTTCAAACATACAGAGGTAGAGAGAATAGTATAATGAACCTATAAATACTCGATGCCCAGCTTCAATAATTATCAACTCAAAATTATTTTATCTTAGTAACTAATGATTAAAGTTCATATACTTTATTTCCTAAGTTCTTGCCTATGTATTGTCGCACTTAAGACTTTTTAAAACCATGAGGGGACAGTTTTATTCGTATCTATTTTTTTTTTTTTAAAGATTTTATTTATTT